AGTGCCCCCCTGGTGGTGGGTCTGGCCCTGGCGGGGAGGAGCCAAGCCCAGCCCCGCCTGCTCTCCTTGTAGGTGCTGAGGATCCTGGAGAAGCGCGGGCCCCGGATGGCCCCGGGGGCTGCTGACGACCTGAGTGCCGTGCGCAACAACACCTACCAGATGGTGACCCTGCTGGCGGAGGAGCGCCCGCGTGCCGAGATGGCCATGGGGCCCATCTTGGAGTTTGCGGTGTCGGAGAACGTGCTGGAGCACCTGCTGGGGTGGCACCTGCAGCGGGACGTCCCCGAGGAGCGCAAGGTGGAGCTGCTGAAGCTGTTCGAGATGCTGATCAGCCAGTCGCATCAGCCGCTGCTGCGCCACAAGGCCGTGCTGGCGCCTCTGCGGCGGCTGCTGGGCCTGTGTGCCGAGCCGGCCTCGCCCCTCCTGGAGAACAACCTGGTGCTGCTGCTGAACCAGCTGTGCGTCTCCGTGGCCCGGGACCCCCCGCTGCTGGAGCTCTTCTTCCACAGCCCCACGGAGCAGGCCCCGCCCAACCTGCTCCTGTTCTCCCTGCTCATCCCCTTCATCCACCACGAGGGGGTCGTGGGCCAGCAGGCGCGTGACGCGCTGCTCCTCCTCATGGCGATGTCAGCCGGCAGCCACACCGTCGCGCGGTACATCACAGAGCACTCCTACTTCTGCCCGGTAAGGGACCCGGAGGCCCTTCTCCCGACTTGCTCGGTCGCCGGCAGTTTCTTTCCTGCCAGCCGAGGGGAGGCACGGGTGCCCTTTGCCCTGCTCGTTTGGTTGGCATCCAGGTTCCTTCCAGAGCCTCTCTTGGTTTTTGCAAAGTAGGCCTTCAGCTTTTGTTCTAAATTCACGTGCTTGCGTTGCAGTACGATCTTGTAATTATTATTTAACAGCTGCCCTAAAGCGATTATGTTAATTCCTTTATTTTTTTACGCTTCTGTATGTATTTTGAGCTGAGGTTTTGGTTATATTTGTTACCCTGAGAGCTGTTGCTAAAGGGTGATTAACCAGTTTTAGAAATGAAGATAAACGTTGGGTTTAAGAATTGCAGGCTGTGGAGGAGAAGAGATTTAAAATGTCAGGCCAGAAATAGCAAAGAGCGTTGCGCGTTGCCTCTGGGCTGCTGTTCCTCTGCGGGGCTGCTGTGCCCGGTCATTTGGCAGACCCTGGTCCAGCGCCAGGAGTTGAGGGGTCGATCGGCGGGGTGGGTGCGTGGTTGCTGCTCTCCGACAGGCGGTTGGTTCTGCGCTGGCGTGGCCGAGCCTGCGTGTCGGAAGGGTGTCCGAACTGAGCGGCCTGCGGGAGGTGCTTCTTGCCAGGGGAGGCCCAGCCCACAGGGGCATTTCTGTGGTGCGCACAGAGCCGAGGTGGTGGCTGCCCGTTTGCCTGGAAGGAGATGAGGCAACCCGCAACTGGGGGAGGCCGTGTACCCCTCCCCCTCCTCCAGATGAGTGCGAAGGGGACTCCCCACTCTTGGCACACCCTGGCCTGGCCCGCACAAGCCCCGGGCACCTTCCTCCCAGAGATGGTCTGGGCCGCTTCCTGCCCAGGATGGGCAGCAGGCTCTTCCAGGCTGAGCCACCAGAGAGTCTCTCTTGGCTGGCTGGGGAATTCTGGGAGCGGGAGGTTGAGAAGCACTCCTAAATAAAGGCAGGGTAGAAATCAAATTGGTAAAAATGCGGCCGCTTCACAGGGCGGTTGGGCGTTGTCTGCACTGAGGGCAGTTTGTCCCTCCCTCTCTCCCCACGGTGACACTCCGTGCAGCCTTCTTCCATGTCCTGGTCCCGTGTAGGGGACCCCCCATTTTGACAGGAGCTCAAATCTCTGCCCAGGTCCTGGCCACGGGGCTGAGCGCCCTCTACTCCTCCCTGCCCCGCAAACTGGAAGTCCGAGGGGACGACTGGCATTTCTTGCGCCGCGAGGACTGGATCGGGGTCCCTTCGCTCGTCCTCTTCATGAACTCGCTGGAGTTCTGCAACGCAGTCATCCAGGGAAGGCTGCTGAGGGCTGGGGCAGAGGGGGATCCAGGAGCCCC